TTGGTGGGGGCCGGTTGGAGGGGGGGGGGGGGGGGCGGGGGGGGTGCAGGGTGATTGCTGCTAAGCAGTCATGCCACAGTGCTTCCAGGTCAAAGGTCAAATAGCATTGTCACAGTTGGCCTTGACCACTGCAATAACTCTCCTGTCACTATATCCATCTGTCAGACTTCCCATCATATAAATCTCCTCTCACAAGCACTAGAGAATTCCTTCTGAATTTTGTTGGTTTATTGCGTGGTGGAGTTGTCCTTGTAGTATGTTGGGTAAAGAGGCCATTCTGCAGCCTCTCCCCCTCCCTTTTGTGCCCCCACCGTCCCCTCTAAATAACATAACAATACTCACATTGTCTTTGCTCTTCTCCCTCCATCTGCTTTTCATTCTTTCCCCGACAGAATTGAGGATTTGCCCAGTTGACAAACTTCTGACCTCGTATGCCCCTCTCCGCCGAGAGGCATGATCTATATGTGTCCTGGATTCTGTCAAGCAGATCAAATGCTTGCCTTTGACCTCAACGACACAGAAGTGCACCTGAATTCATGACAAAGGTCTAAAGCCAAATAGATTTCAGCTTCCATTCAATTGGTTCTTATGTGACGGGGAAAGGAAGACTGATTGCTCAGAGGAACATAGGCACTTTACTTTTCAGAAACCTATATGAGTCTATCAAGGGACTTAGGCTATCATTACATGCATAGATTTCTCTCATTCAGCCCGCAGGAAATCTAATGGATTCGTCCATCCGCCCCTGGGTGGAGGAATCTCCCCTGACTGCTTTAGACAGCCAGTATTTGCGGGTGTCTGAATTACCCAAACAGTGACTGCATCTGATTGTGTACAGGGCCGGATTTACTCTCTCTGCTGCCCCAAGGCCAGGTTCCTCAATGCACCCGCCAAACCCCCGCCCCCCATGGAGAATGGCAGACTTGCAGGATGCATGCAAGTGATCTCGGCAACAACGCAGAGATCACTTGTACAAAACAACCGGAGGCTTCCCCGCTGTACACTTAACCCTGCTTGCCCAAAGCACGGCTAAATGTAGAAAACTACCCGCACCAGCGCCCGGAACTGCATGTCCCAGGCATCGGGAGATACAAATTCCACACCCCTGCTGCCCCGAGGCCGGGGCAGCATGGGTGTTAATCCACAAAGTCCATCGTACTTTGTGGATTAACAGTAAACAACAGCAAAAACCATAGTGCACCCCAATGAGTCCACAACGATATCGCTTTGCACAATGATCTGAAACACAAAGATAGGGGGTTGGGAGGCCCAGCATTCCACGTTTTCCTAGTGTATGCATCAAGGAGAAATAACCATAAAGACTGTAGTGCACCCCAATAAGTCCACAACAATATCGCTTTGCACAATGATCTGAAACGCAAAGATAGGGGGTTGGGAGGCCCAGCATTCTAAGTCTTCCTAGTGTATGGATCAAGGAGAAAGAAAAAGAAGGAAAGACGGGTATCTGTATTGTCAACATTCTAAGTCCATCGTACATTGTGGATTAAGATTAAATAACAGACCGTAGTGCACCCCAAAAAGTCCACAACAGTATCGCTTAGCATTAGAAACCTAAAGACGGGGTTGGGTGGCCTAGCATTCCACCTCTTCCTAGTGTATAGACCAAGTAGAAGAAAAATAAAAATAGATGGGTAGGTAATGGGCATTTGGTAGGAAGAATTAGGAG